AGTAGTTTTCTGCCTTAACCTGTCAGCCCTGCGCTCCCCTCCAACCCACCAATCCCTGTAATTCCATAACATTACTACACCTGGTCTCTTTCTCGTATAGTTATGCTTTAACTTTCTCTTTCAACCTGCAGCCTCACTTCATCTCTGATGATCAACAAAAATAAAGCACTTTGACCACTGTGAAGAGTGTGATGAGAGTGTGTTTGTGTGTGACAGGAGAGGAGCGAGTGTGTGGGAGCTGTACTCAGAGTGTATGTCAAGTTCTGTGTCAGTGTTGTGTGGAGGATGTGGAGTCTGTAGCAGTGGGCTTGGGACCATTTGTATGCACCCCATTTTGTGTCTGTTTTTGTGTGCGCGTTACGGTAAAAGTAGTACTCTTTCTCAAACACAGACTGGATGATTCATCCAGAAAATGGGGGTATGTGTGTGTAAGTGTGTTTTTATTCACACATTTAATGGGCTATACAGTGAGCCGGCAGAAACAGAGAGAGTAGACAAAGTGAGGATGAAAGAATACACATGCAGGTTTTGGGCTCTTATGGAGATAAGAAATCCATTTGAATTAACTTTTTCAATCTAACAGATAACTTCAAAGACCAAAGTACATACTACAGAAGATGCAAAAGAAAAGAAAAAATGTAGTTTGGATTGTGAGAGTTATTTTAAGTTGTTCCCTTGATTTTTTTCTTCTTCAAACCAACGTCTAGCAGTCATTAAATTACATCTCAAGGCACTTCTCAACTGCCTTCAATACTGTTATAAATGGCATTGGCAAAAAAAGGCTGTAGGTGTTCAAAGAAAGTGGAGAGATTTCACATTTCTAATCCTTTTTCCTGGTGGTCTTATGACTACTACAACGAAAAGAAGGCTCTTAAAATATTTCAAACTGAGCATTTGCACACTTTATGCAGCTGTTTTATTTGTGTAACACCTCCAACTGTCTTGGAGGTCCCAGTCTGCTCATGTGGACAACTGCCTGACAGTGGAGACATTGGGATGTGCCTGGTTCTTCAGACTATGGGGGCTGGCTCATGTTTGGGCCCATTTGCTCAGTTTTCTATCTGACATCAAACACTTTTGCACTTAATAACAACACAGTGTGTTACGTGTCCGTGGACTCCTAGTTGTTTTCAACTAATTTGGGGGCTCGTCTGGGATATCTGAAACTTGTTTGGTTGAAGCTTGTTTAGCTGTGTCATATGGAGTTGTTGTTAATCACTGACTTAGTTTGTGGTTTCAAATATAACATTCTTCTTAGCACGCTTTTGGAGGCACCTTGACACAAAAATGGCTGAAACGCTTGTATTTTGTGTATGTATAAAAGAAAGCAAAAGGTGATGTGATATCACACTACAGTCGCCTTTAGCAGTATTAACTTAAAATAATCATTTCCTGTATGACAATTAATCTCTTACATCATTGTGGAGCATTTTTGTCCGCTTTACAACATTGCATTAATTTATAAACAGCGAGCTTAAGGACACCTGGACTTTGACTGGGTAACAGATTATAATGCCTTGATTCGTTTCTTTTTCACTTATTTTGTTGTAGATTTGCTGCTGTATTTGGGGCATTGTTGTTGTTGCATGGACTAAGCTTTAGCTTTCTAGTAATACTTTGGTATACAGAGGAGTTAATGGCCAACAATGGTTCCCCCCTGACCAATGAACCTTCCGATCGTGGGGCAAACGCTCTACCTAATAAGCTATCACCTCATCTTGTCTGTCCAAATGACATTTTTAGAAGTTTTGTGGTTTATTCAAAAGCAACTTGCGACCCTAAGCTGTGTTACCATGTTCTATTTTGAGAGAAGAGGCTTTCTGCAGTAAAGCCTTCCAAACAAGCCATACTTGTTCAGTCTTTTTCCAATTGTACTGTCATGAACTTTAACATTTAACACGTTATCCGAGGTCTGTATAAACTTAGCTGTAGCTCTTGGGTTTTTGCTGTTTCTCTAGAGCATTGCATAATCTGACCTTGGAGCGCATTTGCTGGGATGTCCACTGCTGGGGAGATTGTGGCACTGTCTTAACACACAGCTGAATGCTCCAGACCAACAAACTGGAAAAAATATGTGCTTTATAGTGGTGACCAGACGGGCTGATAATCAAGTAATCAAATGCATTTGATTAGCAGCTACCCTCCACCCTATCCTAATTCCCATGGAAACAGTAAGAGCGCCTAAGTAAACTTAGGCTTTCTTTTTTCACATGACTGTACTCACATGAGACCCACTCATGTCAGTCTTGTCAATGTCATATACTGAGGTTATACTTGTGATCATATAATCAAGTTTTACCTTATACCCTGATTCATCTAAGGACTGGTTCTAAGTATTTTTGTTTAAATTGTCTTCTTTCATATGAACACACTGCTTTTATAAGTACAAGGAAAAATCTTATATGTAACGATGTCTTCTATTTTCAAGAATGAATGAAGACAAACAGCATATTACATTATTATTTACAGTTCATGGCAACCAACCTTTCCAGTGTCTAATACAATCTTTCTCATGTCCTCTACTTAAGGATTTCTAAGAAACACAGTGATAAATTGGAACTTGGCAAAAATAATGGGCAAAAGCCAATTTGGAAAATGAATATGTATTCTGTTAATTACAGCAATTCCCCCAAATAAGCTGAGGGACCACTGAACAGTGAAGTCCAGCTTTTAATCTGAATAAAGTCTCCTATCAGTCATCGTATTCTCCTCTGGCAACAAGTATGAGGACCATTGTGTCCTTTGGGAAATGTATTCCCAGAAAATCATATTATTATTTTTAAACCCTATTTTTCCTTTCCTGACCTTATCTGCACAGGTTAACATACTTATCAAATTTAATTTGAGAACATGCAATATTTAGTTATAGAGTTATTTAAAAAAATCAAACTTTCTTGCATTTCAAAAGACGCAAATTGCCTCGACTCATTCAGAGAAGTGTTAAAATAATAGTGACAAAGATGGAGAGCAAGAAACAGTGAAAGAAATGTTCGAAGGAGGAAAGAACACCTGTGAAGTGAAGCAAATAGAGGATCAGTCGGCAGCTTAAACATTGACAGATGGATGGCAGATAGAAATAAACACATGGCCTCAGGGAAGGGGAGATGGACAGTGAGAAAAAAGAAGGAGAAACACAAAAAAGAGAGATAGCACAAGAGAGGAGGAAAGTGGTAAAGAAAAAAAATGAAAGACCGAGAGAGGAAAAAAATGAGAGTGGGAGGACATGGCACACTGAAAGGTAGGACCTTCATTATGCAATGAGGACAGACAAGGGAATAACACGCATAGAAACACACACACATAAAAAAAACACACACACACACACAAACCACTAACATGCTCTTGTTTGCACGCCTACACACCCAAAACACACAGAAGCACAGATGCAAGCTAATTCAGAGAGGATTGCCCAAATTACACAAATGGGAGAATTTCTCTTGCAAATGACAGCATGCGCTCTAATCTGCTGACCTTTGAACGAGGGGAGGACAGCACTACTGGGAGAGCAGAGAGAGGGGACGGAGAGGAAATGTACTGACCATGATGCCTGTGAGCAGACAGACTCCTTTGCCACAGTAAGTATGAGGAACCATGTCTCCATAGCCAATAGACAAGAAAGTAATAGAGATAAGCCACATGGCTCCCAGGAAGTTACTGGTCACATCCTGGGCATCATGATACCTAAAGAAAAAAAACATGTTTATTGTTAGAGGACAAAGTCAGTCAATAATAAAACATCTAAATAATAATAATGAATAAAAACAAACAAACAATAACTGTCCCACTGGTCCTGTCTGCGAATGTGGGCGTCTAACCGAAAAAAATGTTTCCAGCAATTTTGTCTGACGCATAACACATAACTGCATCTTTTGCCTCCATCGTTCTTGCCCTACACGCAACATTGTTACCATAGCAACCAAACCTGGTCCAGATCTGAAACAAAGTTTTTCTTTCAATAAACTATTCAGCAGAAATATAATAAGATGTAACCTTGCTTGCTAGCAACAGATATATTTGCTCTGAAGTCTCTCTATACTCTAAGACTGAAAAGTCACATCTTTGGACGCCGTTCGAAGCCATTAATTTTTTTTTTCTTCTTCATTAATTTGATTTGGAAAGAAGCAAAATGCCAGTTTCTGCCAGTTGGATACGGACCAACCGAGGACTCCCCAGCAGCCGGGCAGTGATGCATTTAATCAAGCCTATTAACCAGCTGACATTTTCCTACATTTCCTTGATTTATCTCCAAAAACATTTGAATACATCTCCTTTTGATGGCACATTACAAGCATTAAATAATCTGTAAAATTTAATTATCAATCTCTTAAATGTAACTGAACAACTGGATTTAGTGCTCTTCAATAACAACAGAGAAACAGATATGTTTGTAAGCTGTTTCATTTCTGAGCGTCTGCCTGCTGGATGCAAGAGCGGTCGATAAATCACCAGTCTGTACTGCCATGTGTTTGCTGCTGTATTGAGTATGATATGGATTTTTCTTAATGTTTTTTTCATGTCATATATATATATATATATATATATATATACTTATATGGCATGAAAAACACATATTGTGAGATGTGAAATGGGAAAGAATGAAAATAAAGCTGTAACACATTGTACTGTAACAACGAGCTGCTATAAGCATACTTTTAGGTGTTAATATCCTTGTTAACAACTATACATCCATGTGTAAAACATCTGCAACTGGTGTATTAAATTACAGGAACTGTTTGACTTGATTATCTAATCATAAAAAACAGTAAAAAACAAAAACCCAGCTCTGTCCACTTTTCAGAGTCATTGCATCTGTAAAACCACAATTTTGTGTACATTTTTACATTAAATCAAAAAAAATGCGATATAACATGTCAGTTGGTGATCTAACAGCTGCAGCTATGGTTTTAAATCAAAAAGAAAGACTTAAAAGCGCCATCAGTCACATCTCTGACATAATAAAAGTCAGTAAGCTTATTCAACGTGATGTTTCCAAGGTCAGGACATTTGAGCTCAGAATGTCTTCAGGAATTTTAATACACATTTTTGATGTGGGTGCTTAAACATGCCTGTGGGTTAGTTATTCTCATGTAAATCTATGAATCTCTATGAGGATTTGGCATCGTGTTTGTTCATGTAATGTTTCATTACACTGTGGTGATGAGAGCTATATTGTACTGTTATTGCTATCTCCTTTTTACTCTTGACAAATGATCAACTATTAAGTCCTTAATTAGGTCCTTAGAGTCTGAAAAACTATGTTCGAGTGTCCCGTAACAATATCAGATTGCTTATTGCTTAGAAATGCCTTATTGGAGGGTCATTAATGTTAATGAATGTTTTCTTCAGACACTATTATATTGATTTTTAATTTTTATTTTTAGTCTGACAAGCAGACAAATGAAGTAACAAATCCATTGCCTGAACAACTGCTGAGAAAGCCTCATAAACTGAAGTCTAAAGAAGGATTATGTTGCACAGACGTCTCAGATTATAGATTCTGCCAGTTGAATTTAATTTCTGAGTTGAATTCCTCATCGGATCACAGTCCAACACTCACACTCATGTACGCTCATGTACACGCAATAAACACCAAATCACAATCGCAAAACGGACCAGCTTTAGTGCTAACCTCTCACACACTCGTACGGTCCAGGCAGCAATGATCCACAGAGAGATGCTGAAGACCAGCAGCACCGTCCCAGGGCAGATCGTCATAAGGGTTTTCATTACAAACCGCGTGTTAAAATGGACCTAAAAGACATTTAGAGACACACACATACACACATTGCTTCACTTTTTTTTTCCAGGAGTTAATCTTGTGCTGCTCTGAATCCTTATCCTGCACACTGTTTCCCAAGCGGACTTGATGTTTTACTAATTAGTCCTCTGAGTAGCTTTTGATAGCAGCAGCACTCAGAGAATCTCCACTATAATTGGAGTCGAGATCAGGGCTTGCCCTCTGACTCGGGTCAGGCTATACGGTGTCTTTGAGTAACTGGCCTGTGTCAGTGTACTTTTTTATCTCTGGCTTATTCATCAATAAGAGGCAGACAATCAACTTCTGACAGATGGATCATTTGATGCTTGAGCCCTGGAAGGCTAAAGCAGCTGATAAATGAGTTGTCATTTACAGCTGCACTTCAGTGGCAGCTTCACCTTCCCTCCGCGTCGATGCTGCCTGAGGGTCAGAAGAGAGCCGTCGCCGATACACGCGCCACCTGCTAAATTACTCGTCTAAAAAAATCTCCTCTATATCTCTCCCGCTGCACTTGCTCTCCTCCACCTACTTTGCACGTTTGCAACATGCAACATCTCTACTTCCTGATCTTACAGCAATGTTTGTCGCATAAAGTCATTACAAATCTGGCATCAGCCATTTGTTGCACGACTTCAACATATTTCTGCACTCATACTGCAATTTCATTCTAGTTCTTTCTCTTCATGGCCCATTTGAGCTGTATGCAATAAATTGTTTCCATTACATGCTCTCATCTCATATTGTATTATGAAAGATCCACCACAGCTTAGATCTAAGTCTCTAAGCACAGTGACAACAAAAGGACAGGAAGGGGATTTGAAGCGGTAGATGAAAAGAAACAGCTGGACTAGAAGGACAGAAGGGGAAGGAAGAACTTCAGATAGTTAGAGCGAAAGAGGCCAAGGATAAAAGGCACAACATAGACACAGGCTTAATTCAGAGGAGAGAACTCTTGACCTTAATACCTTTACAACTCCATCACCTGTTTCCAGCAAAACCTTTCACATCCACACCATTGAAGGCATACCGCTCAGAGAAACATCTACAAGATTAAAACTCTCCTGACCTTATTGAGGGCACCTATACTCCTGGAGGAAGCGTCGGTGAACAGTTTGCTGTGCAGAAGCATGACTCTGGCAATGAGGTAGAGGCGCAGGAACATGGGCACGCTCAGCACCATGTCCAGGTCAGCCTCGGCCTGCGAAGGCGCGTACGAGAAGGCCAGCCGTGCCCGCCACTGAAACTTAAAGTCCCCAGGCACCGGATGCACAGCAGAAACGAGCAGCTCCAGGGCGATTAGCAGAACCCTCTCCATCGTCATGGCGATTCGCCAGTCGTCTGCTCCGTTGTCGATGACAAACAGCTGCGGGGACAGGAAGAACATGTGGAGAGTCAGTTGAGGAAAGGAGTTACACTTCTTTTAATGTGTCCTTTTAATGTGGCACGGTCCTTTTCTCATCAGTACAGCTGACTAATCTGATGATTAAAGAACGCACCCGCAATTCAGAATAAATGTCCTCCCCGAGACGGAAAACACCATCCATTTAATCAGTAATCTATTCAGTCCCCACACAGTGTTTTGGCTCATTTTCATATAACCTGAAACTCTTCTCTTGCTAAAATTAAACCAAAGATGCTGATTCATCTGGAGCAGTGGCTCTTAAGCTAAACAGGTTTCTAATGATCAGAGAGACAATATTTAAAAAACAAGGGCAGTATGCTGTGATTTCAGCCGGTCTCATGGGCACATGCCAGCGATGACTCTGAAACCGGTGGGACACTGAGCCACTGCAGATGGGGCTTGGACGACCAGGGGAAAAATATGGAGCGAAACTAAGTTGAATGAATGTGATTTATTTGTTTATTTTTTGCAGGGAAAACAAATAAACAAGAGTCTGCAGATGGTACGGAGCTGACTTTTTTCATTAAAATTAAACTTGGATCCTTTTTTTTATTGTTAACTATTGGTAAAAAAAAATGTGTTGTAGGGTGTGAACATTTTTCAGCTGTGTAAGTGGGCCAGAAAGTTTAAGTTTAATAAAAAAGGCCACTTTAATTGCGGTTTTCCCTCCTCGTATGTTGACGTTCGGGTTCGTAATTGCTGTGGTTACACTTGATATTGTCACCAAAGCCATCGTTATAAGGAAGTGGTAAGAGCAGGTTTCATTACGGGGGCCGTCCTCCAGACGGTGCTGACAAGAGCTAGGGGTTAGGGAGGAGGAGGAGGAGGAGGAGGTGGTGGGGTTGATGAGAGGAGAAGGCGGAGGAGGAAAGAGATGGATGAAGTGCAGAGGAAATGAAGAGATAAAGATAGGAATGAGGAAATATCAGGTCAGAAAGGGCACTGCAAAAAATCTCTTTGTTCTTTAGACACTTTTGACTTATTTGAGGATTATTTTTGTTAACGCAAAATAATATTTTTTTTTAAGAAAGCACCATTTTTGAAGCTCTACATTTGGGATAAGTTGGAATTTCGCAGTGCACTGGCATACATTTTTCACCTCTCAAAACAAAATGCTAGGACTCAATTGTAAAATTTGTAAAGACATTACTGCTGGGGGGAGAAAAGGTTAAGGAGCGAGAGAGAACCAGAAAGCAGAGACTAAAGAGAAAGGTCGGGGCATGGGGAGAGAAATGAGGAACTCCCCTGCTGGAAGTCAGCTGAGTTTACCAATTGATGTACTGCCTGGAGAAACAGCCACTGCTAACAATTGCTCTTTACCACATGATTCATCTCAAGGGCTTTTAGCCCACACCAACATTTATTTAGGAAAACAAAACAAATACAACAAGAGGTCAAATGAAAGAGCAAGCGGCCATGACAGCTGTATGTGTGTCACAGCCACCTGGTCACTGTCGTGATGAAGCCGAACTGAAGCTTTCTCAACCACCTACATGCATGCACCTCCACATTAATCATCACCTTCGTCTAGCACGGTCGATTGCATGTTGTTCTACTTCTATAACATGTATGCACACATGCTGACTACATGTGTACAGATACATACATATGTAGCCTGCGCACACACCTGAGCCATTTTGCAAGCTATCATTTGAACCAAGGGTCAAACGCTGGCTGTACTCTTTAATGGTCTCACACAGCCTATGTGTGCGTGCGCGTATTTGCATGTGCGTGTGTGTGTGTGTGCGTGCACTGTACTTGTGTGTATCTGTGTATGCCTGGGCGAGTTGGTGAGAGAGTGTGCAGACCCAGCCTCGTCATGGTGACTGTTGCCAAGGCGACAACATCAAAGAGCAGCCAAGCTTAATTAGGATCCCCAGTGAGAGAGAGAGAGAGAGAGGGAGCGAGAGAGAGCCAAAAAGATGGAAGGAAGAGACGAGGCAAGAAGACAGAAAAAGGAGACACAAGAAAAGAGACTGAGGTGTGCGCGACAGCGAGTGAAGAGGTACAGAGACAAAAGCACAGACAGGTTGTCTAGCACCCACCTTCCCCGCGATGGTTTTGTGTGTGAGTGACTCCTCAGATTTAGGTGACAAAAATCTGTTCACGCTGTCACATTATTGGGGCTCACCAGCCATTTAGAGCAATAGACTTAATGTTTATGGCTCATGTTTGGGAGTTGTGTAATCATAGTTGTGTTTAAGTCTAGAATAAGTATCCGGTGTAAGTCATGAACTCCTGAGTGATAAAAACAGGTTTTCCGTGTTCACATGAGTGTTATCCATGCAGTAAAATGTATGTATATTCATTCATACTCACACGTTTTGCCCACATGCCACCTGTCATTCATTCTTTTCTCCCTCTGTATGAATTTGTGTTTCTTGGCGTCTTTCTGCCTCCATTTCTCTTTCACCATCCCTCACTCCTGTTCCCTTTCTCGCTGAATGACATTTCTCCAAATCAAAACGGAGGTGATCCAGTTTCTTGCCACAGGAGGAAATGAGCACCTCTCCCTTCCTCTCCTCCCCCCTCGCCTTCCCCTTCTGCCCTGTCCTCCCGCACACTGCTGCTGCTGCTGTCGGTCTTTTCCTGGCTAAATCGCCATGAGGAAGGGATAAATAATTAAATTCCATTAGGAAAGTAATCTGTCAATTGGAATGAGTGAGTGCCACTGCCCCCACATGACCAAGACAGAGGGAAAGGATGAGAGAAGAGAGTGTGGGAAAAGTGTATGCATGTGTGCACAGCCATCAGGAGACAAAAAAGAGAGGAAGAGAGTGAAAAAAAACCCATAAAGCGCCTGGTAACAATGATGAGGATGAAGAGAAAACAGATAAATTTAAAGTCTGTGCCATTACAGGCTGAGGGCAAGGGGCAAAGAATATAATGGAAAGCAGACAGGACAGAAGGAGGTTAAAGGAAGAGGAAAAAAATAAGCCTGACAGCAAAAGACAACGGGGATAAAAAGGAAAAGGAGAAATGTGCGAAAATGACAGCACCAAAGATAGACTGAGATTTCTCCACAGGTAAAGGTGTGAGGTCTGACGGGACACTCTCCACCTAAAGCATTCCCTGCTCCAGCTGCTACGTCTGTAGCCCGCTGGTCAGTTTGTGACCTCTCCATCTTTTCTTCTCAGCCATCCAACCATGCCTCAACCATTTCTTGCTCCCCCCAGGCCATCGTACTTCTCTAATCGGGTTAAGTCTCCGATTGCAGATGTCTCTCATCACGGAACCAGATGCAGCACTGGTCAGACCCTACCAAGCGAGCAAGCAAGGACAATTTTGCACACTCGCATGCACACAAGCACGCATACGCGTGCACATGCCCACATCCAGACGATCCTATAAAGTGCAGCACAGACTGAAAAAAGAGACAGTTGCATGCAAATCAGCCTCAAGTCTCCATTTCCCATGGGAGTGAAAAAAGACTAAACCCCAGTCTGGGGCAGAGACAGTCCTAATCACTGAAGGAGATGATGATAGAGCGTACACTAAAAAGCATGCACACATACTCTTACACACAGTCACAGCTCTGGGGGGATGTCTGGGTCCTACAGCATGGAAATCCCTAGAACAGGCAGAAAATAGATTCACACACCCTGATATACGTGAATATTCAGAGAGGATAACACACTTTCCCTAACTGTGATTGCAGCTCTGAGGGAACACCCCTGTGGCTGTTTCTATGAAAGAGGAAACGAAGGGGAGAGAGTTCACCAAAGTGAAAAGGAAGTGTTGGAAAGTGCGAGAGATGAGGAAAGGTATGTGTGCATGTGTGATGCTGCCTCGTTTGCCACCAGTCTAAAAACAGTAAGTGGGAGAGAGTGAGGAGAGGTTTCCAGCAGCGTTGTCTGGAGACCAGGAATTTCCTCAGCGCGAATACACGAAAGACAAACTGAGATGTGAGCAATGGCCAGAGGCTTCAAATCCCATGTGATAAATTAACAATTCCTAGAAGTAAATGGTCGAAATGCTTCCTGCGTGTTACGAGTCTAAAGTGGATGCTGTAGTTTACCTCTTGGTTGTAGTTTCAAGGGCAGATGTACATTGTGCCAAAACTGAGAGCAAGACATCATAAAATGACCGTCCCACTATTAGACATCTTATGGCTGCACTTCACTTTAAATAACAGAACACAGCCTTTTTGGAGGGCTGCTGCTCACTTTATTACCCTAATGCCATCCTGCCTGCATTTGAGTAGCTGTGAGTGCCAAGCTCGTGTCTTCTTGATCAATGGACTGCTTCTAAAATTCTCCAAAAGTAACTGAATAGTACAGCTCTGTAATGCTTAAAGTGCACTAATGGACTGGAGAAACATCCCTTTCTCACACACTCTCTTAGCGTTTCTATTTGATTAATTTCAACAACAATTCAATTTTTTGCCTTTCACGTCTGGATTTCTTTCAAGTTTATGAGCTAAAATTAATGCTTTCATTTTAGAGAAGTGTCTTACTTGTTGCTGGGTATGTAAAATGATGCATGTGTGTGTGTGTGTGTGAAGAACAGAGGCGACTCGTGAGTTATCAGAGTGAATCACATAACAGAACTTCAAATACATGGAAGTCTCTGGACGCCACATCAAACACAGCTGAGATAAGGTGAAACTTTCTGAAATATTCTTTTTCTAAGCAAACATTTAGCCTTTGAAATCATCTATCATTATCTTTCGAATCAGCCAAAGGATGCTTGCAAACTTTGGCTTTAAAAATTCATCACTGGCTAGACTAATGCTACTGTACATAAATCTCCAGTAATGCTCCTTTATTTCTATCCACACTCATGCATCACTTGAATTTAAACTAAAGGTGTGTGGTGATGCTGAAGCTCAATAACCACAACACTGGGATAAAAATCTTCTATAGTTTGTTTACTGACTTTATCTGGTTACAGTTAAACAAAAGCAAGGTCAAACTCAATCATCAAAAACAGAAATCATTCACTAAAGAAACGTATTGTCA